AATATACTGGCTCGAGGACCTTTCCTGATTCCACCCACCTCTCTCTCCCACTTCGCTTCCTGTCAGCTCTAAACTATCCTATCACAATAAAGGCAAAAATGCCAAAAAATAAATCTTACAAAAAAAAAAGATTATTTATATATATATATATATATATATATATATTTATGTTATGTATGTATATATGTGTGTGTGTGTATATATGTACCATGAAGTCACCAATACTTTGCTGCTTTTGATAAAAAATTTTGCGTATCGATATATACACACACACACACACACACACACACTATATATTTATATATATTTATATATATTTGCACATAGACTGCACCAGACAGCCAGCTGCTCGACCTCCTGTCTGTAAGCAGACTCATCACCGTCCTGAATAAGGCCGATGAGTGTGGTGTCGTCTGCGAACTTCAGGAGCTTGACAGAGGGGTCTTTAGAGGTGCAGTCGTTGGTGTACAGGGAGAAGAGTGTTTAAATACATATAGAAATAATTAAACGTGATTAAAGTAGGCAAATAAATAAAATAAATTGGTGGGCAAATGGAAAATGTTTAAGGAAATGCTAAACTGATCCTATTTATTTTTCTTTGATCACTCATTTATTTCTGAATGTAGTCCCGCATTTATTTTTTTTATTTGTGTATTTATTTATCTATTGTTTTTGCAGGTTTCGTCCTCCATAGTAAAGTGGTTAACATTTTTAATCTAATTAATTACACGATGTGCCGATTATTAATCTAATTAATCACAAATTAATCGCACATCAAGTTTGGCTGAGAAATTACTCCCAAAAGATCATTTAAAGTCATTGTTGTGTAAAGCATCAAATAGGCATTACAAAAGTAGCTTCAGCAAGAAATATTTTGTTTGATTCAACATAAAATTTAATGGTTCACCCAATTCGTTTAAAACGCGGTTTAAGAAATTAAATGTTTCCGAGTGTGTTGCTCGGAGACTAACAGTTCTGTTCTGTCTTTATATTTTCGTTGGCAAAATTTAGCAAAACAGGCAACATTGTGTCTAAAATAACAAAAAAAATGTTATTGATGTAAAATGGTTTTGATTCAAATAGTCTGTAGTTAAAAACTGAATTCGAACAACTGTAATTCGTGGAGCACATTTGTAAATATATATTCTTTGTGTGTGTTTTCAACAGACTTTTTCCTAAATAGTTGAATATATAAAAAGCATATTTCATATGTGTTGATGTTGTAGTAAACTGTGTCTTAGACATATTAAATTGCTGTAAATGCAGGGAGGATAAGGGTGAGCAGTGTTTCACAGCATATCTGATCTTTGAAGTTAAAATGGGAGATGGCAAGGCTTTGAAGTGTATGTCGGGTTTAAGAGCAGGAGTTTGATGAGTCAGGCTTGAAGTCCTCATAAATCACATGTAAACACTCCGGTGCTTTTTTCATTTTCCTTTCTTCCCCTTTGTAGGTCAGGGTACCGAAGTGCTGTTACCCTTTGCTGTAATAAAAGCTTTGAGGGGAGGAGGCCAGACATAGTGCTTGAAATCATGAGGCATATATATGTATGTGTGTATGTACACACACCGCAGTCATACTCAGGAACTGACCTTTTGTTCATTGACTACAAATACTCCATTACTCATACTCTTTCTTGCTTTCCAAGAAGACCAGGATCAACCCTTCCTCTCCCTTTCTCTTCTTACATCTCTCCCCAGTTGGCTACAAAAACAGAGCTTATCCTCACACTGCTCACAGGTCTGACAATGGTTGACTGTCTGATGGTTCATGATCTACTAAGATCTATTCTTACATTTCAGAGTTGATCTTTAAAAACACAAATTTAATAACACTGTTTATTAACACTGTTAATATCTTGCTGGATCTGTCCGCTGCTTTTGACACGGTTAACCACCAGATTCTCCTGTCAACCCTATTGGCAAAGGGCATCTCAGGAACCACACTGCAGTGGTTTGAGTCTTATCTCTCAGATAGGTCCTTCAAGATATCTTGGAGAGGTGAGGTGTCCAAGTCACAACATCTAACTACTGGGGTGCCTCAGGGCTCAGTTCTTGGACCACTTCTCTTATCTGTCTACATGGCATCACTAGGGTCTGTCATTCAGAAACATGGCTTTTCATATCACTGCTATGCTGATGACACTCAACTCTACCTCTCATTCCATCCTGATGATCCGATGATAGCTGCTCACATCTCAGCTTGTTTAACTGATAGGAAACATGGCTTTTCATATCACTGCTATGCTGATGACACTCAACTCTACCTCTCATTCCATCCTGATGATCCGATGATAGCTGCTCACATCTCAGCTTGTCTAACTGAATTAAATGATAGGATGGCGGCGCGTTCACACGCTGCGGCTTCTCTCTCTCCCGACAGGAAGGTGTTTTCGTGTATTTATCAGTTTGCATTGGCTACCAATAGCTGCTCGCATAAAATTCAAGGCATTAATGTTTGCCTACAAAACCACCACTGGCTCTGTACCCCTTTACCTAAATTCATTACTTCAGAGTTATGTGCCCTCTAGAAGCTTGCATTCTGCAAGTGAACGGCGCTTTATTGTGCCATCCCAAAGAGGCAAAAAATCACTTTCTCTGACTTTTAAATTAAATGTGCCTTCCTGGTGGAATGACCTGTCCTTAGAATCATCTTCAAGAATCGGCTAAAAACACATCTCTTTATAAAATAAATAAAATAAAAATTCAAAAAACTTGCCCCTTTTAGACTTGCACTCTATTTATTTACTAACTGCTTGTTTTCTTAAAAAAAACAAAAAAACCTAACACTTGCGTCTCTAATCTTTTTGCATTCTATCTATTTGTTTTCTTTGTTTATTATACAATTATAATTCTGATTTTCTGACTTCTGATTAACAAAAGCAAAAAAGGCCTCTAACACTAGCTTGCTCTATTCTTTTTCTATTCTATCTGTTTTATTTTTATTTATTATATGATTTAAAAAAAAACCTTGCTACATGTACTGCATTAAGCCAACTGAGACTTGTTATAGCACTTGCATATCATTGCTCTTTTGTTGATTTTGATTGCTTCCATTGTCCTCATTTGTAAGTCGCTTTGGATAAAAGCGTCTGCTAAATCTAAATGTAAATATAATCCTAAGCAAATCTCTAAATGAATAACATTTATACTGTGTAATATGGTGTTGCAATGCCCTGAATTCACCTGTAGCATTTATTTTAGTGTATTTACTTAATATTTAATTTTTTATGTATTATTTATATATTTTTTAGTATCTTTATTTATTTTATTATTGCTAATTTATTGGGTATTGGCCATGATATAACTATATAATATATGATAATTATATAAAAATTCGTTTATTTTTCATGCATCCCTAGCACTAGTTAATCAACAAACAACATGGACCTTTTTAAAACACTGAGATTTTGGTTTAAAATGTAGTTTTAATTTTATTCCTATAGCTCAAACTGTAGAGAATGGCACTAGCAATGACAAAGTCATAGGTTTGATTCCTAGGAAAAGCAAGAGAACTGATTAAACAAACAAGCAAACAAAAAATAGCTACAGTTGGGTTTACAGTTAATCACCTGTTTATTCCTGTTGGTCCAACAGCAGCATGGCACTAGCAAAGAACTGATATAAAAAAAAAAAAGATACTTTGTAACATAAGTCACTTTCTGTCAAATGCATATATGTAAATGTGTAAAGGTTTGCTCAACAGTATTTACCACTTAAAATCCTTCTCCCAGGCACAGATGTATATTTCTTGATTTCTAGAATGCCTTGTGCTGTTTAAAATGGACACCTCATATATTTTCATTCAGTATTGACGTGTCGGTCTTGCTCCAGTTAAGACAGGATGCTTTTCCAGTAACGCGTGTCGGAAAGTATTTCCATCTGAGTCCTCTAACCCTCGCTTACCTGCCGCTCTGCTGATGTGATGCAGGCCAATGATCGCTCGCGAGTCTCTGTATTCAGGGAGTGGTGTGTGTATTGTAGATACCTTTTTAAATGTTTGTTGGTATTTGTATGATTGCTGTCACTGTGGTTGAGAATGTGACAGGAATTTCTCTTATTGGTTTATGATATAGTTGCACATATGATTTTATATTCATGAAAGTGGGATGTGAAAAATCTGTGTCACCGTGAGTGATATCTTCATCTCCCTCTCTCTTCCTCAGTGTTTGCTGTCTCAGCCAAAGTTCTGGGCAGTGGAAGTGACATCACTGTGCCTGAGGACTAAGCTGGAGAGAGGAAGCTCACGGAGAGTTGAACGTGCCATGATGCAAACACAGGTAAAGTACAGCTCAGAACACACATGTTGGTCAAAAGTGACAGTACAAACATTTATAATATTCCTAAAGAAAAATTGAATTTATATTTCAAATAAATGTTTTTCTTTTGAATGTTCTGTTAATCGAAAATACTGAAAAAAAAAATGCATCAGTTTTCACAAAAATATTACGCAGCCTAACTGTTTTCAGCATTTATAATAAGAAATGTTTCCTGAGCACCAAATAAGCATGTTAGAATGATTTTAGAAATGATTATGTGACACCTAAGTAGTAATGCTTCTGAAAATTCACAGGAATAAATTACATTTTAAAATCGATTACAATATTCACACAATATGCAAAAAAATGCAGCCTTAAATGACGAACAAATCTTACCAACCACTTCTGAATGGTAGTGTAAACGGTTTCATTCTAAGAGCCAGAGACTAAGTAGTCATTGTTTTAGTCTGAGGCAGTAAGGAGTGTACATTCTTCTCTTGAATATGAGCTGCAAAGGTAGTGATGGCTTCATTCAGTATGTTGATTCATACATTTACTGGCTTCAGTGTAATGATTCCAAAATTTCACAGCACCCAGAGAAATGAGATCCCAGATTTCCTCCTGTTGTTTTTGTTGCATTTGTGTGTGGGCAAGAGAAATGGACAGATAAGCCTGAGGGAGGAGGATGCTTTAGCTTCCCTTTGGCTGCTTCCCGTTTCCTCTGTCATTTGTCATGACAGTTTGTGTCCTTGTTTTACTGAGGAAAAGCCAGAACAGTAAAACCAGAGAAGTGCTGATATGTTCGGTGTGTATTCTTGTGTGTGTGTGTGTGTGTGTGTGTGTGTGTGTGTGGTGTGGGGTGGGGGACAGCCTGGCTCTTCCTGTCCTTCTGATCAAATTTAATTTAATGGCTTCCAATGTCTTTCTGAGGAGCAGAAAGACTTTTTTGACAGAAACTGGTTCATTTGTCCATTATTACAGTTTTTTTATTTACTGTAATTTGTTCATTGTAGGACTGTGAATATAAATCGTCTCACCACACAGACATTATATGGATGTTCTGCTCTGAAAGTGGTTTACTGCTAAGGTTATGGTTTAAGTTATAGAGTCATCAGTCATATTTGAATGGCAAGGTTTCTTAAATGGTCATAAATTAAAATCTAGTCTAGCGAAAAATCTATATGTCTATATGTCTAAATACTGTAGTGAGAGACATTATTATTATTATTATTACCAAAATTAAATTATAATAATACATTATTAATTTATCCATTTATTATCATTAAACACCAAAATATAATAGAATTATTATACATTTTATCCATTACTATTTATTATTATTATTATTACTAAAATGTCATTAGTATAATACATTATTTTGCTGTTTATTTTTCAATTTATCTTTAAACACCCAAATATAATAGAAATATTATTATTTATTTATCCATTAATGTAATTACTATTTATTATTATTATTATTATTATTATTAACAACTCTAGTAGGAAACACCAAATTATATTAATTATTATACTTTTTTCAATCCATTATTATTGTTGTTTGTAGTAGTAGTACTAGTAGTGGGAGTAAAAAGTGAGAAAATATCAATGTAGTCTAGTGAGAAACCCTACATTTTTAATTTTAATTTTATTGTTATCACTGTCTGCTGCTAACAAATCATAGATAAAGGAGTGTTGCAGTAGTTAAAATTTGTCCATTTGCTGTGGCTGATGATGACATCCCTCTTTTTGAGCTCAAGTGACACCCATAGACGCGGCCGTAAGCGCTGAAGGTGATCATCAGTTAAGAGCCTATAGAGCTGAAGGGTGAGATCAGACACTCTCTGTATGAACTTACGACTGATGGAAGGTCATTATCGAGCAGAGTTTGCTGTGACACATTGCTCTCTACTCTTTCTTTGATTGCTTTCTTCCTTCCTTTAAGTTGTAAGTGTTTGCCTAGTGGAGCTGCTCTCTGACAACCCAAAACTCAGTGTGACAGATCGTTGGGGGAGCCGGACTCTAGGAGGCCACCCTGAGGGGCAAGTTTGAGTCCGACAGGAGATCACAGCAAGTCACACAAACACCTGTCCATCAAGGAGTTAGAGAAACATGAAGCGCCCAGCAAATCCCACTGCTGACACCGGTGAGTTCAGTCACCCTGAGAGCGATCCCGGCTGAGCAGAACCCCGGAGCGATGACGAGAGAATGACAGCACACTCTCAGATGAGTGAAGGACGACGAAACACTTTAACAAAGTTAAAAAGATGAGAGCGAGAGAGGAAAGTCAGGTAGCACTTTGTTGAAGTACAAACCCACACATATAGTTTATATACCCCTCTTTTCTCAAAAGTTTGCATGCCCTTTAGCCAAATATGGAATGTGTTTAGCACTTTCTTAAGAGTGATTTCAATTTTAAAAATAAGATCATAAAATTTTTTCAGTACTGCCCTGAAGAAGCTATATAACAAAGATGCATATATTCTACCAGACAAAATAACTTGATTTGTACAAAAGTTATCTTTACATATCTTTTGTTCTATTCTATTGTGTGTTGCCTTTTCAGTCATTTTGTTTTGATTCTGTTAAAACTGTAAATGGTGGACTGGCAATATGGCCGCCCTTAGAAAGGTGGTGTTTGAGTCAAAGAATAGAAAAAGAGAATAGAGACAAAGCCCATGAATTTAGGCCAACTAACTGGGAAAAAAAATAATCAGATGAATATTTTCTTTTATTATTTTTAAAATGTTCTTACCAGGTCATCAAACTTGACAGTCAATCTAAGATTTTGATGTCTATAGTTTGTCTAATTTAATAACTAACATAAAATTTGTTACTATGTAATTTGTTAGTAGTTGGAAATAAAAAATGATTTTGTGGCTTGCTCCTGATCATGGTCAAGATCTTGTGAGCAGATTTTATTAAAATTTTGAGGGGGAAAAAAAGGTTCAGAATTTTCAGGGGGAAAAAAATTTGAGGTGATGGTGGCACTAGAGAGTTTGACTAAGAAATTCATTAATAGATAAAGGCTAATTTTATGCCAAGTTTAACAGTTTGAATTCCTTTTAAAGGGGTAGTTCACCCAAAAATACAAATTTTGTCATTAATTACTCAGCCTCGTGTTGTTCCAAACCCCGAGATATAGATAAGATATTTTTGATGAAATCCAAGAGCTTTCTGACCCTACAGCAACACAACCAACAAATTTAAGGCTCAGAAAGGTACAGTAGCAAGGACATTGTTGAAATAGTCCATGTGGCATCAGTGGTTCACCGGAATTTGTAAAATTGTTGAATAAAGTAATTATTTGTGCTCAAAAAGTATTTTCGTAGCTTATAATTTTACAGTTGAACCACTGACTATTTTAACAAAGTTCTTACTTCCTTTCTGGGTCTTGAACGTGTCGGTTACGTTGCTGTCTATGCGTGGTCCGAAAGCTCTTGGATTTCAAAAATATCTTAATTTGTGTTCCGAAGATAAACAAAGGTCTTACGGGTTTGGAACAACATGAGGCTGAGTAATTAATGACAGAATTTTCATTTTTGGGTGAACTATCCCTTTAATGACATGAATCATTTATTGTCTGCAGACACAAGCCTCCTTTAATGGCAGAAGTTCTAGTTCTTGATTGGGTGAATTCCAGGAACATACTGACCATTTTTACACAATCATTCATAAATACTCATCAACTTCACATTTGATGTAATCAATTTAGAAAGATTTTTGTTTTGTCTTCAATATTATTCTCTTTCCATCCTGAACAGTCGTGACATTTTGTGAATATCGCACACACAGACTGTTATCTCCTCCGTCTCACTGCGGTTTGAGTTTCACAGCGGTACTTGACAAACTTCATTTCCTCTGCCTCCTCTGGCTTTTCTTCTGCGATCAAGAGCGCAGAGTATGTATTCAGAAATGGCAGAAAGGCACTTTGCCTGTGTGCTTGGCATTTTTCTCACAGTTTAGAGCAGCTGGTATCTAGGCCACGGAGTGGGCCAGGACTTCAGAAAACTTTTTATTCCTTTTGTATGTTCAGAATGGCAGAGTCTGGTGCATTGTTGGATTAGAGGCGCTCTTTGTGACTGCACAATTTGCCTGTGCGGGGCTTACACCACGCGCTATCGACTGCCAACTTATTTTTCATTTAGGACTCCGATCAGGCCCTGGATGAAGTCGATTTCTATGAACGTAAAATTCAATTTCAGTGCTTAATCAATAATATCCCTGAAATAGAAGTTGGCAGCTTGGGTCATGGCAACTTTGGAAAAAAGAGATTCCAGTGCATGTTACTTGAGGTATTTTTGGAGCAGAAACACAGTTTTGTTTTGAAGTAATTAACTGGAAGAATTATTATTTTTTTTTTAATTTACAACAGATGCACACTGCAGTGACTGTATGAAAAGCGGCTCTGACTAGACACAAGGGCTGGGTAAAAAAATATCGATATCTCGATTTTAATCGATTTTCATTTTTAGGAAACAATATCGATTCTTAAACCCCAAGAATCGATTAGCCTAGCCTGTTTTCAATTAATGGATGGAACATTGAAGGGCACCTCCCATTCAACATATCGCAATAAGCATTTTGTGCTTTGGTACTTTTAATATGAAACAAAGTCTCAGATTTCAAATTCTGTCCATTGTAATGCAGTATTCAAACAATAAATGCCGTTTTGGCGCTGTTTAATGTGGAGTGACAGATCGCTGTAGCGCCTCAGTTCAACAGACGCAGCAGCACGTAGCGCATGTGAACTAATCTTCTCCAAATTAATACTAGTTTCAGCACAAAATAAACATGACTAAACATCCGAAGGTAATTTGAAAGAAAGAGTACAACTTTACAATCTGTATCCTGTCTTGTGTAATCGTTCAATCGGTGTTTCAAGGACAAAGACGTCAGTAAAACGGCTTCTAAACAATGTCACGTAACGTCACATTTAGAAAAAACCTCAGAAAAAACATATTTGGTGACCTTAAGCTTATTAGTCAGCTAGAAAAATAAACTGTAGAGAGGGGCATTTTGCT